TGAGTATATATTCGCCCCATATATTTTTGATGTGCATAAATATTGCATTTGATTATTTACAGTGGTGTACATTGTGGGACAGATATATTTTCACAATAATAAATTCACTGGTAACATACATTCTTACTTATGCCAAGATTCTGTTTTTGACATACCTTTCACAAACAGTTGCAAAATGGTCTTGCCACTCAAATGTTGCAAGCACTACTGTGCATCACACAGAATTTTCAGTAGTATGGTACTTGTAACTGTGTTTTTATCCAGACAAACTGGTCTTAATATTAAAATTTATTAAGAAAAAGCCTTTGTGCTGTTTCTTACCACTGGTATTTTACAAGTCATGAAAGAAAATAGCAAATCAGGCCAGTCATGCAATGTGAACTGCAGCTATTTTGATGTAGCTTACAGTATCTGTATTTGCTCTTTTTTTTTTTTAATGGAAAACTGGTTTCGAATCCAACTGTTGTGCTGGCATTTGCACTGCTTTACAGATCCCAGAACTGTATTGTTTCCAGAACTGTCCATTGTGAACTTCTCAGAAATCTCATCTCTTCATTTTATTTTTCAAAAGAATATGGAGGTTGTAGAGAACAGGAATTAAATAACAGTACTTTATAAATTGTTTTAAATTTCACTGGTTTGCCTTATTGTGTGCTGTGTACTCCCCTGGCATAGAACTTGTTAAGTAAGCTTGTAAGTTAAGTGGCTGATTCTGACACAGCTGATGAGCACTGTACCAGTGGCTTCCATCTGTGCGGGAGTGATGCAGAGTGCTGTGTGCTCCTGTTACTTTTCAAGTGGGAAAGTGTGTGTGTGTGTGTGCACTCTTCCACCACAATTTGTGTTGACCCTGGTCTTGGCTGGAGGGCTTGGAGGTGTGTACTGGCTCAATTGTATCCCCTTTGTATGTTGAGAATTGACACTGTTAGTTCCACAGGCCTTCATCCAAGAACTGTCAGATGGCTCTGTAGCTATCTTGTGCATATGGAAAAAAGTTAATTGCAGCATAGCTTTGACTGTTTTTACATAGGTTATTTTATATTGATTAAAAATAGTTAAAACTCTGCATCTTTTCTGTCTGCCCCTTCTCTATTGAGTGAAGCCAGAGTTACTTGAGTTTGTTTCTGAGGGCCCTTCGGTACCTGTAACTGCTTTGTGTCAGTGACTTCCTCAGTAAGATGCCAACTCCAGCCTATTACAGTGCTCACATCACTTTTCTGCTGAGTGCATTAATTCTTTCCTTGCCCTCCCCTATGCTTGTGTAAAGGTTTTCATAAAAATCTTCACAGCAGCCAGTGTTCTTCAGAACTCTAAAAGCTTCACAAAGGCCTGTACCTCACAAAGCACAAATGACTCGGGTTTGATTGCCTGGCATGCTGATCAGCATCATTTTGTTTCCTTGGACGTCGCTGTCCATGTTTTTACATCCAGATTGGAAAGGTTTTGTGGTAGGATCAGTGTTCTTGTTCTGCTTGCCTTGGGAATAATGGCCACTGTACAGCCTGGGCAATGAGTGAGGTTCTTGGCAGAAATGATGATACAAATAATAAAAACATTAAACAAGGAATTGAATCTTGGTAGTGTAATGAAGTTCAGGGTGCAAAATAAAAGAAGCTGTTTTCTGAAACAGATGAGGAAACCGCTTTTACAAAGCATAATGGTAAGTTAGAGCTCTCTTAATTAGTAGCTGGAACTAAAGAATTGCATAGTTAACAGCAATTTTTTTAAACTGTGCATCTGGTTTTAATTTCTTCATTAAGAAGTAACCATAAATTGAGAAATTATATGCAGAAATCAAAGTTACTCAATAATGGAAAATTTTTAAAGATTGCATTTCTAGATGTCAAATACCATTTCAAAATAAACTGAATGTTTTGAGTTCAGTATAATACCAAGAGATGGAGCAATGGCAAAATTATTTCACAGCTCTGCATATCAGTTTTTCTGCTTTTCTGCTTACCTGCTATTATCTCTTACCTGTTGAGTACTGGCCAACACCAAGCTGCAGAGGCATTTTCCCCTATATAAGGTGAAGTCAAACATCTGGAGGTGTCTACATCAGGTGTGGGAAGAGTGGGTGGTATTTAACATTGCTTGCCTTTCAAGAGCTGTTTGTATTCCTAGAAAAGGACACTAGTTTTCCTTAGAATTCCTTGTTGCTTACCAAGCCAGAGAATACTGCAAAGCTCTTTTATTTATATTGGATAGAGTTTCTGTATTAGAACCTCAATAGCGCAGAGCTGCACTGGTGTGCCATGTTCAGCAGATACAAATTGCCTAAGTGGCTTGCTAGGGTTAGATAAGGAATGTGATGGATCTAAAAAATACTGCTGGATTAGAATGGAGAGTCCATGGGATATTTTGACTAGCTGTTAGTAGGAGTCATGGAAGTAGGAAGCAGCAGAAATTCTAAGGTATGCGTTATAGCAGCATTTCTGGCAGTGCTGCTATAAAGCAACAATTGCATCCATGGATATGCTTTTAAATGTTCTTTATATACAAGACTCGGTATTATACAGTGGGAGGAAATACTTCTAGGAAGCAGCATAGATTCATATAAAGAGAGTATTTACAAGAGCATGTAGTGACAGGACAAGGGGGGGAGTGACTTCAAACTGAAAGAGAGTAGGTTTAATTAGATGTTAGGAAGACATTCCTTACTGTGAGGGTGATGAGACACTGGAATGATGTCAGACAGGGTGATGTTACCCTGAAAAGATGTGGATGTCCCATCACTGGAAATGTTCAAGGCCAGGTTGGATGGAGCTCTGGGTAACCTGGTCTAGTGAAAGTGCCGGTGCCTGTGGCAGGAGGGTTGGAACTAGGGGATCTCTAAGGTCCAACCCAGCCCAGTTTGTGATTCTATGAAAATATATTTCATTAAATACAGAAAAAAAATTTCTACCTACATGCTGCTGTTTCCTATAATACAGTGTGGCAGCTTTATGCATGATTTCACTGCACTGGACCAAATTGCTGGAAGAATTAAGAATATGGCATCTACTTTTGGAGCATTTTAGGGATAGTTTTGAGTGTGTGCAATGACCACAGATGAGAGATAATACGCATCTTGCTGTTTATCTGTTATCACTATCACTTTGAAAAACTGCACTGTGAAATCAGTTTAATTGAATTGTATTCTGTAAGCTCCTGCAGGATAATGTTTTCTCCATGTTTTTCTTGCTGTAGTATTCTTAAATGAGTAGATGCTTTAAAACAACTAAAGGATAGAAATGAATGTCATTGTATGTCAGAAGTTTGCTGTTTTCATTAGTTACAGGAATCTGCAAAGTATTTTGAGGCCAAATAATTAGCCTGTAGCTTATGCTAAGTATTCCTGTTTTATGAAAGATTAAACAGTTGTTAAAATGTGTGTTTATTGCTTTCCAGAGCACACCATTTTATCTTTGTCCTGCATGGCCTTGCATGTTCATCAGCAGGGACATAATGTGGATTAAAAAGGCCTGGCTTCAAATAAGGTTGTGTGCTTCTGCAGTAACTGCTTGGCCTGTTTGGATCATGCAGCACCCAAGTTTCTTTGGAGCAACGGCTTGTGAAGGCTTTCTGAAGTGAATAATCCTATTACCAAGTTGATTTGAGTGCTCAGGCTGCGTACAGTCCATGTTAGAAGGTACAGGAGGGGTATTGCTTTGTAACCAAGAGATGTGCTGGTGTCTTTACCTGATGCCAGTCAGGCTGCCTCTGGTGCTGTCTTTATCTGCAGTGGAAAGAAGACTTTGTGGCAGAGAGGGCACTTCAGTTCCTCACATTCTGGAGCAGTGGGAGTGCCCACACTTCCTCATGATGGACCAGCAGCTGCTGAGAAGCAGCTGGCACGGGCTGTGCTGTTCTCGGTGGTGGCAGACTCTCAGTGGTGCTGCTGTCCTGATTGTCCAGGACTGTGGAGCCTGACCAACAGTACTGGTCAACCAGAGGTTGCTTGTGGCTGAACTGTCCTTGGAAGCAGCAGCTGCTGTGAGTAAAGGGAATTTTTGGGGATACACTGCCCCATCTCTTTTTCAGCTCACTCAGCATTTCTTCTTATTTCATCCAAGCCAGGAAAAGAGGTGCAAGAATGCCAAAGGCAAGATGGACATGCCACCCTAACACTGCTAACCCAGTAGAGCATCCTTGTGGCCATGCAGGGACCAGCAGGCTACAGGGAACCCAGGCACCTGCAGGAACCGGCCTCCCCGCCATCGGCTCTGCCACTTACATGGTGCCAAGATGTTCACAGAATGAATCAAGTTGGAAAAGATGTCTGAGATCAAGACCAGCCTAGCAACTAGACCATGGTGCTAAGTGCCACATGCAGCCTTTCCTTAAACACCACCAGGGACAATAATTCTACCACCTCCCTGGATCAACCCTTCCACTGTCTAATTGCCCCTTCTGTGAAGAAATTCTTCTTAATATCCAAGCAAAATGTCTTAATGTCCCCTGCCACAGCTTAAGGCTATGCTCCCTTACTCTGTCACTGGTTGTCTGGGAGAAGATGCCAACCCTCACCTGCCCACAGCCTCCTTTCAGGCAGCTGAAGAGAGAATAAGGTTACCCCTGAGACTCTCCTCCAGGCTAAACACCCCTCCCTTCCCCAGCTGTTCCTCATAGGACTTGTGCTCCAGGCCCTTGTCCAGCTTTCTCACCCTCCAGTTCCTCCCTGAATTGAGAGGACACAGGATTCGAGGTGGAGCCTCACCAGGGCCGCGTACAGGGGCAGAATCACTTCCCTCATCCTGCTGGCCACGCTCCTGCTGTTCCGGGCCAGGATGCCACCTGGGCCCACTGCTGGCTCGTGTCCAGCCGCTGTACCCTCCAGCCTACTCCGACGCACCTTGCAGGCTGCGTCTGTGAATTTACGAATGGTAGACTCGATCCCCTCATCCACGGTTTGGGCCTTTTCGGAAGTTTGTACAAAGCAGGCGCTGCTCTTGCCCTTTAAACCTCGCCGCCATTAAGTTTTCCCCCGCCCAGCGCCCGCCCCGGCCCGTCCCTGCGCGTTGCCGTGGCAGCGGGGCGGCGGAGCGGGGCAGGTGAGGGGCGGTGTCCGGGCCTTCCCCGAGCCCCGGGGTGGCCGCCCTGGGGGTGGCCGGGGCGCCGGGGCCGTGGGCGGCCCTGGGGCTCCCTCCGGCCTACGAGGGGCCGCGCCGGGGCCGCTGCCCGCCGGCGCTGCCTGCCCGCAGCTCGGGGCGGGTGGGCCGCGGGCACCCGGGGCTCGGCCAGTCCCGTCTGTGTGCGGACACGCCTTGGCCTTGTTTCCCGAACACCTGGCGCTGGCTTGGGGTGCGTGGAAGGAGAAGAATAGAACATTAGAACTAACTAGAGGAAGTGAAAGTGATGAGCTGATCTTTGTCTCTAGCGAGAGTAAACCATGAGAAAGTGACGATGGTGAAGGCGTGCAGAGGCTGCCTGACCTAGCTGTGCTTTTCTTTGACCATTAGGTGTGTGTGTATGTATGTACAGAAGGTTCCCTCTGAACATCAAGAAACTTTTTTTCCGTGTGAGGGTGACCAAGCAGTGGCACAGGTTGCCCAGCAGGGTGTGGAGTCTCCATTCTTGGAGATTCTTCGAACACACTTGGACATGGATTTTTGGCACCCTGCTCACAGGCAGTGCCGGGGGTCAGACCAGCTGACCTCCAAGAAGTCTCTGGTCACCTCTGTACTTCTGTGAGACTCTGTGATTAATGGCTTACTGTAGAAAAGCAGGTCTTGCACTGCACTTTTTCCCCGATTTTATTTTTATTCTTTTATTTGAGTACTTCCTAAGGGTACATGCACACACAGCTGTATTCCTTCCTCAGAGTTTTTCTGTTGTCCTGAAATCCTCAGCTTTTTCGCCTTCAGCTTTATTCCTTGGCTAGAGCTATGTTTTTGAATCATTACTGAAAGCTCGTGACCAATCTGGTAATTAAATGTGCACCTTGAAGTCTGTTCCTGATGCAAATTGGCTGCATTGGAGTGATGAAGATGCTGTGCCCTGTCTGCATTTCTCCATAAATAAAGTTCTAAATATGGTTTGATCCTCAAAGGAGCCTTGAGTCACAGCAGTTCCATTGCTCTATTGCTGACTTTTAATTTTTTTCTTTTCCACTACAGGAAAATTCATGTGAGAAAGCCACCACCAGGTACTCTTATCTTTAAAAAATCTAAAGTGATCAAGGATTCTGCTACATGATTCCTGATTACTTTCTTAATGCTGTTGCTTTTACTGCTCCTCCTTTCTGCAAATAACTAACCATTTTAGGTTCTTGTTGCTAAATCAACTTAAGCATGCAATAGTTTGTCCTGGAAATGATCAGAAGAGTTTCCCACCGAATGCACTCGATCACTATGGGAGAAGAACCATACAATAGCCTATCTCTGTCCCTTCTTTTGGATCCTGGGGATCAGGATTCCTTGTAACAGATGAGTTAAATCCTGACTGAGACAGACACACCTGTAGCTGCTGCATACACAGCTGTATGAGCAAAGTGCAATATGTGCTTGCAGCACACATGAATGTTTTGTCATTGTAATTGTTTGATGTAAAGTCTGTCATGAGCACAAATTAGTAACTTTTTGCTACAGCATTTTTCAATACATAAACACAGTAGAATCTTGGTCATCTGCCTACTCTGGCACATCTGTACAAAAATGCCAAGATTTTCCTTGGCGTGCAGTAGTGAGTTGTCAGTGTAGATATCTTTTGTGTTGGTACATGTGATGTGACTTGTCAGGACTGCCCATTTTACAAATTTTTGTTGTGGTAGGTTTGAGGAGAAAAATCAGTTTAAAACTAGCTGAAGTCACCCATTAAAGTAGTAGTTCTTACCCAGCTGGTATTGGTGCCCAAGCTGATGTGTTTTACTTGGTGTAGCCACGAAGTTTTTTAGAGCCATGCAGGGCTTGTCTGTTTACCCTTCCAAGTCTGTCACCTCTACAGCAGCCTCAGCTATTGAGTAGGACAGGAGGGAATCTGGGGACAGGCACTGTTCACTCCCATGTGCACACACAGTTTTTCATTCACATTCTGCATCTGTGAATTGCTGGTTTATTTCTTTCAGGTCCTTGTGACTGGACACCATGCCTCTTCCAGAAACCATGTTCTGTGCTCAGCAGATCAAAATACCTCCAGAGCTTCCTGATATTTTGAAGCAATTTACTAAAGCTGCTATTAGGACTCAGCCTTTTGATGTTTTGCAGTGGGCAGCTGCGTAAGTATGATGTTCACCTAACAACAGAGAGCTGTGTATATGGACCCTTAAAACCTCACTCTCCTCTTTATTGTATACTGGACATAGCTTTGAATATTGCATCAGCATATACATTGCATATACACTTTTGTATACTAATGCAGCATGTAAGCCTTTTAAAAATAGTGTGGTATTTTATTTATTTTCTGTTTACTTGAGGTTTAAGGCTGGCTTACTTCTGAAATAGCTGGATTTCCATACAGAAAAATGCATCTTAATTTGATTTTTGTTATTAGTTTTTCTGTCTGAAAGACCAGCTCTTTTTCCTTTTGATTTGGTTTGGTTTGGTTTTTCTTCTCTCATCTGAGATTCAGTTCTTGGAATTTAAAGGAAAAAATATACATTAGTTTTCTAATTCTTAAGCCTGGTTAGGTTTCTCTTCTTTCTTTCTGGGAAAAGTGCCTGAAAAATCGCACCTTTGAAGTGATAATCGGCATAATAAATCTCTTGCCATAAAGTTGATTTAGATGTTTAAGTGTTTTGCCTTTAACATTTTTTTTTCTTTTACCTCAACTGCTGACTATAATTTTTTCCTGCCTTATGATTTGTGTGGGCAAGCTCTTGAAAGGTATCTGTGAGATGTTCTCAGCTGGTGGGATTGGAAAACGTCTGTACCGTGTGAGGGAGGGGAGGCTGTTAACACAAGCCAGGCTGGAGTCCGGCTTGTCTGTTAAAAAGAAAATGATCTGAAGCTGAATTTTTGCCGCTGCAGTGTTGGAAAAAGCCAGCTTCACACATGCTGCTGGTGTTGTAGTGCTTGTGCCTGTGAATAATCAGATGAGGAGCTAGATCTGGCTGAAAAATAGCCCTGGTGTTATCTATACACGCATACTGTGCATCTGTTTTTATAGTCATACTAATTCAGTTCTGGAGTGCTGCCTGCTGTGTATTTTAGCAAGTATTTGCACAGCATGGGATAGTCTGGACATGGACAGGGATGACCAGGGCAGATGAGGCAGGACAAGTGGAGAAACTTCTAAATTAGATGCACCTGAATAAAAACTGAGTTTTTCTTGCACAATTCAATTGCTGGCCATTTAAGGCAGAGGCAGCTCTTAAGGCAGCCTTATAACTAAAAGGCTGTGCATCCAATGCCCTTTATGCTCTACTCTTAAATTTTATTTAGAGTGGGCAGAAATAGCAGAAATGCTGAGGAGAGAGTTGCAGTGTGAATAGGCAAATGTACATTTTGGGTAGTGCACGAGGGGAGTGTTAAACAGGTAAGTCCTCATGTACATCAATCAAAAGAGCTGAATATATCATGCATAAAATAAGTTAAATGCCTTAGGAATTATTAGAGTGTCATGAAAAGGAGCAAGTAAAGTCTAAAAATTGTGGGATTCGGGCACAGGAATATGGGAGTTGTGCATGTAGGCAGCTTACCAGGTGCTGCTGCTCCTGTGGGGGAGCCTGCAGATTCTTACACTGAACTGTAAGAGCATTTACTTCTGTGCAGTTTGTAATGGCCATGGGCATTGAGGTGTGTTGCTCTTCCCATTCACTTAGGTATTTTTCAGCCTTGTCTAAAGGTGAACCCCTTCCTGTGAAGGAGAGACTCGAAATGCCATTAACAACAGGGAAAAAAGATGCTGGTTTGACCCCAGGACTCCTTAAGATCTTGCACAAACAGGTACAAGCTGTTCTTTATCAAATGCACAATGCTATTGAGGAATGCTGATGTGCTGGGGATGGCTGGGGAGAGACACTGTCAAGTTTTTGAAGTATTTTGGGGAGACACTGTGTTCTTAAATTTGTTCTGTTTTTTGGAGTTCTTATTGTGGTACCATGATTTTGTTCAAAGCTTTCTTCCAAAGGCATGGTGACCATTGCAGAACTAAGGGAAAAATGGAAGCATTTGGGCTTGCCAGAGGAGCAGCTGGAAGCTATCCTGCAATTGGACAGTTTTGGCAAGCAGGTGGAATGGATGAAGTTTCTGGCACTTGGGTGCAGCATGCTTGGTGGGGTACGTTCACAGCAGGAGCCCTCATATCCAAACACAAGTGGTTGCCTAGGATCTGTATATATCCAAGACAGACCATAGAACAATTAATGCAGATGGATTTGGGGAATGGTGATTGCTTTTGCAGCAGCTGGTAAAGTGGCTTGTGTGTTTACTTCAGTTGTACATCAGATTTTGGTCTGGGGAGCTTAACCAGAAGGATGGCTAAGTCCTCGGTAGAAGAGAAGTGTGTCTGCAGAGAGCTTGTACTGTGTGAGAGAGGGTGATGGAGGAATGATGCTGATGGCATCAGTGTAAATGTCCATGGAGGAGAACTGAAGGGAGAAATTAAAGAACCAATTTTTAATTGATTGTGTAGCCAATTAAATTTTCTCAGCAGCACTTAATGTTACTACAGCTGCACTTAATTTTTTTAATGTCAGTAATAAAATCTCAGCAGAGCATTTTAACAGAATGAAAGATTATAAAATGCATTAAGCTGATGTTCTTATAAAGTATAATACTTCTAATGATTTCTACAGTAGGGAAGAAGAGGTACTAAAAAGAAAATATATGTGAAATAATATTTTGTGAATGTTGCAGTATCTGGAAGTCCTGAATGTTAACGTGGCCTGGCGATGCAATTGTGCAACTGTCTGTCTGTCTATCCATCTGTCTGTCCATCTGTCTGTCTTTATGTCTTTATTTCAAATTCATATTTCTTGATTCGAGTTTTCCTCCCAAAATGATCTTGTCATTTGGGCTCTTTTCTTAATTTAAAAATAGTAACAGCAACATTACTTATCTAAAAAACAACAACCCCTCTGTCCTGCAAAAAAACCCCAAAAAAACCAAAACCAAAATCAGGGTCACAGGAACATCATTCTGATGGAGCTAGACAGACTAAATTTCACCATCTCACCTTCCTTTTGGATATTAAGTGAATTATTTGATTTCAGTACTATATAATGAAACCTAGATCTCAGTTTCCTAAACCAGAGGGAAAGACAGACATGAGAAATTTACATTCATTTCCTGCAGCTGTAAATTGTGTTCACAGTCAAGTAGGGTCATGGTTGAGATATAAGAGTAGACAAATGCGAACTAAGAGCACCAGTCTGAAGTATCTTTCTTGTAAAGCATCAATGCATTTTTACAAAAGCCTTTACAAAAGGAGAAATGACCACACAGGTAGCCTGCTAAATTGTCTGTCAAAGCTGGCAAAATGGATATGAATAACTTTGCTGTGTTGTGAGAGAGAGAGACCATGGCAGTTTGGGGTGGCAGGACCAGAAAAGGCAGTGGAGGGGCAGCCAAATGCAAAATGTAGAGTTGGCCAACATAGAGTCAGCTGCCTCTCTTTTCCCTGAGAAGCCTTCCAGGGGAGGAGATACATTAAGTAAAACAGTTAAAGGATTATAAGATGACACTTCTCTGGCCTGTGTTCTAGATCTTAAACAGATAATTTATTTAAGTATTGCTATTCTACTGTTATCAAATACTGTCTTTTTACACAGACATTGCTTGCTTCTTAATGAAAATGTAAGAGTAAATTTTGAAAAAGTTGCAGTGAAAAATATTAAGACTTAGGTTAAAGAAAGCCTGTGTGGGTTTGGTTTTGTGCTTTTATATTTTAGATATATATGGTGCGTGTGGTTTTATTTGTTTGTTTCTTTAATGGCATCCAATTCATTCTTTAACCGAATGAAACTTTATGCTGAATTTTTCCACACTTTTCCTGGTATAGCTCAGCATGCATAGGGCACTGGATTGTCAACACCATATTAAAGGAAGGATTTTTTCAAAGTATATTTGGAACTAATAATTTGCGGCGTGTGTTTTAAAGGCAACTCGGATGTTATCGGCCTTTGACTCAACTGAAATATTCTTTACATGCTTTTTGCCTCAGTGCTTTTTCTACTGTCTGTTAAAATGGAAGTTGCATAGAGATAGCGGAAACAGTAAATATCAGCCAAAATATAAACTAAAAATTATATAATAGAATATCATAATAAAATCACCAAACCTATATTTATTTGCTGGGCGTTGTAGACTTGTGTGTCTTAACTGCTGCTGAGAATTCATTTAGAACCATTGAGGTAATATACACACACACAAAAAGATCTGTTACTAGATACAGTGATGTTGGAGCTTTTACAGTAGCAGAACAGAGCAATTTGGCTCTAATGGAGAGAGAGCTCAGATTACCCTGTGCAATTGTTAACCATCACAAGATTCTGGTATTTTTTACTCCTGTCTCTACTAGAACTACATTATTGTTTTCATCCTTGGGCTTGCACTAAAGAGTAAATTTGGGGTTTAAAGCTAGGCAATGATGATAACACCTTCATCTCATTTACTCTCCTTTTTAATGGCTTACAGTGTGGATTTTGCCATGATATGCAAGGATGTTCATGGCTCTGACACTTTTCCTTTCATTTCTTGCTGGAACCCCCTGCAGTCCTTACTGAGTTCAATGAAACAGGCCTGTGAGATCCTAACAAGAGACCCAGAAGGTGGTGCAGCTCGAATTCCCTTTGAAACATTCTCATTCCTTTATTCGTATTTGGCCAGTATTGATGGAGAGATATCAGAGACGGAAACTAATGCATTCCTCGATGGAATTAAAAAACAAGCGTAAGTAAAAATCTGTGCAAGGAATTTTAACGTATCAATTGCCTCTGGGTTCTCCATAAACCTTTAATTTCACGTGAATAGTCCATTTTCTTTTGGGCATAGCCATGATGACAGGAGTAAGGATTGACTAAGATTGTATCAAAAATATGCAGAGTTATTTTTTGTCAACTTCAGCGTTTGCAGTATTAAAAGATAAATTGTTATTTATCCATCTTTCTCTGAAATACTGAAGTCTCTGTAGGGTGGTATAATTTTCTATGTAGGAAGATATATACAGGCTTGTAACATCTGCATATTCCTGCTTCTGGAACCAGCAGCATCTTCTGGGCTGTTTCTTTGATTGAACATAGATCATAAATCAGAGAGAGAGACTGGGAGCTCTCTCAATTGTATCCATAGTCACACATATAGGTCACACAAAATGCACTACACCAATTAAAAAATATCTGTAACAGGCTTGTCCTCCACGTGTTGCCTGTGTAGCATGTTTGCATACAGACACTTAACTGTTCCACCATCTCTTTGGAACTGTTCTTTCTGTGCATGGTGGCTGACACAGCCTCAGAGGCACTACCATCATCGCTGCTGGGTTCAGCCCTGGCCAGCGGCGCGTCTGTCCTGGAGCTGTCTGGCACTGGCTCTCTAGAACATGGGGGAAGCTTCTCTCAGAAGTTCACAGAGGGCACCACTGTGACCCCCACCTGCCCCCCAAAAAACATTGCCATGCAGTCTCCATACACTGCCTTAGATTGCCACCAGCTCCAAGTTCATGGGAGCTCCAAAACAAGAGCATAGAAATGAACATTTTCATCATTAGTTATAAGATTGACAGTTTTTAGTAAGAACCACTTTTTAATCATTGCCTCTTTTTCTTGCATTTCATATAGCCCTAAATTGTATCTTTTCCAACACACTATGTTGTGAAAGTGACATTTCAAAAATTTGGTTTATTCCTTTCCAGGGAGAAACACTCTGGCATGGTGCTGATCAGACACTTCCTGCCATACTCCTTCATATTTTATTGATCAGTCCAACTCTTCAGCATGAGGTGAGAGGAAAAATAAAAGAAGGAATAAAAAAGTTCAAGAAAATAATTTGTGTTCAAAGTACCATAATTTGCACATTTCAGAACAACATGATCCTCTTCTCTGGCATTTCCGTTTCTTTGTCCTGCTCTTGAGATGGTCCTTCAGGGGATTATTCATTGAATAATACACGGTTATATTGTTCTCCAGCCTCTCAGATACTGATGGCCACCCCTAGAGAATGACCCCTTCACTCATCTGCTTATATTGAATTGAGCAAAAGTTGTTTTGTTACTGAGCTTCCTAACTACATTTGATAACTGATTAAGTAAAACATGGAACTGAGTTAAGCCAGAGCAGCTGTAACTGGAGCATTTCTCATTATGCTTCTGGTAGCTCTGAATTCGTTTTGACTCTGGCACAAATACAGCTGATCCTTGGACTACCTTGTCTGCCAGGAAATGCACTGTTTGAACTGTTTTACCAGGCCCTACTGAAAGAACTTAATAAGAACCCTATGGCTGAGCTGGTAGACAAAACCAATGCAAGGAGTGCAGTGGTTCCATATTGTTTTCCCTCTAATTAGAACCCTTTCAGAACTTAAATACCTTTTTTCATTTTTGGATAAACTTGTCTAAATAAAGATGTTTTAAAATATATCTTGTTTTCTGACAGGTAAAGCTACTGCATTTGACACATATGTGAGGAATACCTGACACAGAGTTGCTTGGTTAGACTGCTGTAACAGGTATAGAAGCCTAGACCAACTATTTAGTGACAGATAATCAATCACACTTAATTACAGAAACAACTGAGGTATGAAAGGGTACTAGAGGCTACAGTAAAACTGGAAAGATTCCCTTTGACTGAGAAGGCCACAACCAGGAGCAACATGAAGTGCCCTCTCTTGGCACACTGAACAAACAGAAGTATTTTAGGAAAGATGGATCTTGTTCTCTTATAATTGTTTACTTTGTTGAATCAAGAAGCTTGGCTGATGGTGACTGACCTTGCTGAAGTAGATTGTGTGAGGAATTAACAAACTGTACATCCTTAATATCTACCTGCATGTTTTAAGTCTGTTTTATCAACCTCTATCACAAACATTTGTATGTTAGTCCACAGGATGGGAAGCCTTCCTGGTTATTGTTGGAAGGAAAATCACCTGCTGTTTGAATATGGTACTCAGTAATATTCCAAGTGTCCTTGGTGCCTTCCCCCTAGCTTCTGTGGAGAGCTACATTCTCATCACCTTTTCCAGATTGTATTGATCCAAATTTTCTTTGAGCATGAGCCTGGGCACACTAACTTTTGTGTTATTGTCCATTTAACACCAGCTACAGTTGAAGATGTTTTATCCGGTTGGAGAACCCTGAAATTGTCCTCTGGTACATGCTGTAAGTAGGCAATGTCACCTAGGGGTAACAGTGTTAGGTAGGAGGGGGAGCTCTCTTCATGCATTCCCTGTGTGTAACTGATCTGGATTCCAGGGATTAGCTCTGTTCTATATCCACTACTTATGGGCCAGGAAGGCCAGAAGTACAACCTCTCATAAATTTTATTATTCAGGCTTGTCAGAATAACTCAAATACATGAGAGATCAATATAATTTATTAACAGATGTATAAATGTTCCAGATTTACACATTATCTGAAATATACTGCTTCCATCCTAACAAACTGTAGCACATTTTTGTCTCCAAGCAGCACAGGTGTGATGCAACACCAATATTATGTGCACACCTTTACTGTCTTGGCCAAAACAGCAGTAACAGCAGTTCTTGTGGAAGTTATGTTCTGAACAGCTGACAAACAAAACCATCAGGTTCTTGTTCCTACTTTCTTCTTTTGTGATTGTAATACTTGTCTTCATCCCTGAAACAAAAACATAAACATTGTGTGGGCTGTTAGGCTCGGAGTGAGAGTCTGAAGAGAAAAAAACAACTTGGAAAATGGAAAGCTCTCATTAAATGTAGTCATGTCCTCCTCTAAGGAAAGAAAGTAAACTGCTTTTAGACAGTTTCTTTTCTGTGCTGCTTTAATCAAGTCTTGCCATGCAGTGCCAGAGTGCCAATTAGTTTAGGATGAATGGCATCACAGAGAAATGAAGCCAGCTTTGAGACAAGCCATCACTTCCATCCATGCAGTTATGTAATGCATTTACCCAAACACAAGGGGCAAGGCAGCATTTCTTCTGCACAACAGTCCTTGTGTCTGCTCAAACACAGGGTCCCACACACCTGTGGTCCTGCAGATGTAAATGTCTTTGTTGGTGGTATTACAAGGTGTGGCCTAGATTTGTTTTCTTTTGCTAAATTGTATGTCAAGAAATACTGAAGAGCAACAGCATTGTTTTGAAGCATCTAATATGGAAAAGTTAATGTTTGCATACTAGTGAAACAAATAGTACTATTTATTAAGATCTAGAGCAAACTAGAGCAGAAATCAGCATTAGACATGACAGGCAGTTAGTTGTGGATGAGAAACATACTGTCCCTTTAACCATATTGATCAAGGAGTAAAATCAACAGCCTGTTACAGAACTGTTGCAGCCCTGCAAGCATGCTGCAGAAAGTGCCACCTTTCAGATGAGACTATAAATTCTGAAGTCTGGATCACAGTTTGTGATCTCACAGAATGTTTTGTTTAGTAGCCTCATACCACTGGCTTGTCATACTGCACATGAGGTTAGCCTAGCTTTTTAATTGGACATGCTCCACCTCTGCACTAAATTCTCATACAAAATGGCTACAGATGCCCGATTCAGAAGCAGGAGTCAGCTGTCACTGTTTCTGCTCACCTCTCTCTTTTTCTCCGAGAGTCTCTGTCTTTGCCTCTCTCCCGACTCCTCCTTCGTTTACTTGGACTCCTGCTGGTGTCTCTCCTGTGTCTCATGCACTCCGTATCCTTACTGCTTCCTCCAGACTGCCGTGAGTCCACCGAAGCTGACCGCCTGTCTTCCCTTCTGAAAATAAACTTAAGTGATTTTAATCAGTAAAAACAGTTTTACACTCACTGTTTCCAGTACCATACTACTGTTTCACACTACTGTTTCCAGTGACTTACTACTGATGTAAGACAGAAGACATATATTTTATTAAACCTATCTCTCTAAGAAATACAGTATCTCCCAAAAGAGGCCAAAGTCCATGTGCACATCTCATGTGTGTACCTCAGTACTCTATTTAATCCAATTATTTCCTATGAACACTGTTCCTTAACACCTCTGCTTGTGAAGCAGGAGCCAGTAGAAGGGGTTCACTCTGTTTTGCTTCAAATCTTTAACTCTTCAAGCATCTGCCTTAAGCTGGAGAACCTAAGTCCTGATCTGACAGAATCATAGAATTGTTAGGGCTGAAAGGGACCTCTGGAGATCTAATCCACTCCCCTTGCCAAGGCAGGGTCACCTAGAGCAGGTTATACAGGAACGTGTTCAGGTGGGTTTTGAATTTCTCTAGACAGGAAAACTCCAGGATCTCCCTGGGCAGACTGTTCTAGTGCTCTGCCATGCATTCATCTTCATTTTAATGCTGGGTACAGAGTGTCACTTAATAGTGTGCTTCAAAAATATTCTCCTCTCAAAGACCTGCTGAAGAGGCACAAATAGGAAACCACTAGGTCATGACTCCATGTTTACTTCAGTGACAAACATTTGGAAGGGTGTGCAGTGTTGCTTGACACAGCAAAAATATGTATAGCTAAAACACCCTCCCAATTAGCACAGCAGCATTTGCAGGGATAAGAACTGTAAAGCCTCCCCACATTTACTATGTTTTGGAAACCTTTACTCTAAGGTGTAATATATCTAGCACATGTCATGTGGTAGGGAAGGGTAAGAAATTGTGTACTTGTATTTCCAAGTGTCCTTCTGTAACCAGCTACAACATATATATATATTTGGGCACAGAGGGAGCACTATTCATCCCCCAGCTCCACTAGAGACTACCTGTTCAGCTGAATCACTTGCAACTAACCTACTTGCCTCTGAAAGAAAGATACTTATTAATGTTTCTCCATCCTTCATGCACGCAGAGTTTCTCAAGCAAGACTTAATAGAATTAGTATAAAATAAACCATGCATATGACTCAGATAATGTTGGTGTGTGCTATTAGAAGAAGGTGGTAAGATAAAATTACAATCTGCTTCATGCCTGAAGAAGCTGTCAGCTGTGGCATACCTTCCTGAAGACTTTGACTTCCCTCCTTCACATATCTCTGCATTATCCAACCTGTTTTCCTCCTGCCACTGATTGCTGAGTTCTTCCATATGCACACCAATCACATCCCGAATCACCTGGAGATTAAGATATGTTAAAAATAAACATGTCATGGTAGTGCCTGAACAAGCACTAAACAAAGTGTAAACATCTCAAAAAAACTCTTAACCTCACAAAAATCTCCCCCAAACCCTGTACATCAGATGTTTGAAAGTCTTATTTGCAGAAAAATCTTTCAGCATAAATTTAAATAGTACCATTTTATGATAGTGAGCTATATGTTGCTGACATTTTCACATTCAAAACTTAGCAGTTAGAAATGCTCATTATTTGTAACTTGCTGCAACAAACCAAATCCACTCCTCTATAGTTTGCAACAATAACAAAGCAGGATACAAGAAGCAGAGAAAGACACATGATTTGTCTTTGAAAAAGTATATAATTGTTTATGCTGATATATAGCAAGCACTTTTGTCCAAAAAAGCTTTTTTTTCCCCAATCTCACCTCAGTGTAGGACTTCTTTGTTATATGAACATTCTTAGCTCTGTATGACTGCCGCCGCCTTTTGTAATCTCGCATTTCAGCCAGAATTTCAAGATGGGACTTCGGACCTTTCTGACTATCATCTAGCAAAAAATTGGGAGTAAAACAAACAGTCATTAGCAGGATGTTAGCACCTGCAGGTATGCAGGCCTGTACATTCAGGAACATAAAATAATCGTGCTCTGTCTCAAGTTCCTCCTGTATTTAGTATCTATGGTGAATTTATCTCAAGCTTCCTCCTCCAACCTTCTTGCTGGCTGTTTACACACAAGTAAAAAAGCACCAAGCAAATGCTGTTATGTGATCTCAGTCTCCAAACTGTGATCCACACCAGTATACAGGCTTGTGATTTGGTCAAACGCCTTCTAAGTATGAGTCATGTTTTCAAAGCCAGTATTACAGTAAGATACAGAAGGAGAAAGCCAGACTCTGTTAGAAAGTTATCTACATAGATGACAAGCACTGTCACATCTCCCAGGCACAGCAGGGCCTGCGGGGTGACACAAATGCTTTCGCTGCACTTGGTAGTTACAAACTGGCATGACTCAACAGGGATGAGAAGTCCCAGACCAACACCAAAGTATGTTGCTCAAGAGCTCCACCTGGATGACTGTCAACCTCTCCTGTTCAGCTTTTACTCTTAAGCAATCTTTAATCTCATCATGTCCCACAGCAAATAACTGTTCCAAGCTGCACAGCACAATGGCAACATTAAGCAACCTGGAGTCAGCTGCAGCAAAGACAGAAGATCCATCCATTGAGATACACATAATACATGTGCCAAGGGCAGAGCACTGAGGCTTTCCAAGAAGGTAAACATCATAAAGGACACCAGACTAGCATTTTGTGATCCCAGATCTTTGTTGTAGCTTTTAGAAACAGTATGCTCTCCACAAAAAAAAAAAAAAAAAAGGCAGCATAATCAATTCTGCTTGGCTATCAACAAAACTTATGTAACTGGACAAACTGAAAGTTCTGAGCCATAAATTCAACAACAGGTCATTCTTCAAACCTTGGGTGATTTTCGCTGCTAAATCCACGAAGAGATCACTGTCATTTTCCGTTATCTGGGATCTGGACTTCTGTTTCTTTGTCTCCTCAACAACGTAATCGTAAAGAGCAAGGCGGTCAGCCTGGGTCAGGTCACACGTGAAACGCTTGTGGTTTTGAGGAACTTCTATGGGCAGTAATGAGTAAGATCCTGGAGGTTGAACAGAGAGCTGTTACTTGTAAAGTAGCATAACTATGCACGAAAATACCAAGAAGCTCAACAAACAAACAATGCAGTAAATTCCCAGGCTGTTTTCATCCTTCCCCTATGTATCTGTAAGAAGTTTCAACCTTCGTAATTTGAAAAGATAAAAACTGCTCAAAGATCCCTCCCAAGCCTCTCTAAGGCTGTAAAACCCCTCTTGATTGCTTACACAGATACAGTTTTCATATGGCATGAAGGAATTGTACTAGATTAGATCAAAATGACCTCTGTAATTTCCCATGAGTTTCAGCTCTTGACTTACAAGCTAAATCAAGAGAGGGTGCAGCTCTAACTTGTGAGTTTATCTTACTCCTAAAATGTTACATAAAGTGCTAGCTGCAAAATACCTGTTCTGCCAACAAGAATGAAAGCTTCTAGGACACTAGGTAACCAAGCACTGTGTAGATCAGTCTCACTCACACTGTCACCTTCTCTTCAGAGCTTTTACAATAGACTGACACAGGAATTTATAGCCAAAAGGACTACAAAGGCACTTTCAAAGTGCTCCAGATCGGTTCAGATTACTGACTTAAACTTATGGAAACAAACACACTGCCTGAACACTCTTCTTTCCCATTCCCCAGTTAAAACACACATGCCTCCAAACAAATTAATCCATTCTCAATCCATTGCAACAGCAGTTAAGTGACTTCCACAAAGATACAGGATGCAATACTCTAGGACATGGACAGCAAAAAACCATTTTAGTAAAAATCTTTCAATTTTCCAGCAACCATTCATCTGACCTCCATAATCCTGCTTCCCCCCAGCACAATCCCACACATCTCCAGGCAGACAGCAAAGCCAACACATAAGAAGGGTGTATGCAACAACAGCAAACCTAGAGCTTCTCCAGATTATTCAGCTCTTAATGGAAACTGGGCAATTTTTCACATCCTACTATCATTAAAGACACCAAAGAAGAGGAAGAGAAACCACAGTAACTTTACAAACCTAAAATACAAGACTTCATCATTACTGTACTTGGAACCTAAACCAGAACTGTTCTAACATGAACAAATGAATCTAAACACAAAAACTAGAAGTCTCTTTTTAAAATGTGCTGTTCTTACAGTGTCACAGAAGTCCATAAAAATACACTGATAATTACATGCTTGTGATTTTAGAAGAATTACACAACTTGTGATTGAGACAAATTTTTGTTTTCAACAATGTAGCTATGCTAATATTCTAAATATGGTTAGAATTGAAAAAAAAAGAAAGAAAACAAAGAAAAACAAAAGAAAGAAAATCTCTTCCTTTGAGACAGTGAGGAAATTTACAGTGAAAAATTTACAATGAAAGGAAATTTACCATGAAAAATTATTTTTCATTTGTTTCTGCTGCCAAAGACTTTAAATTGAACAAGTCAGTAAATCTTACAACAGGCCAAGTCAGCAAATCTTACAACAACAATGAAAACCACTGATCCAGTTTCAGTGTTATCCTCAGAGAAAGGCAAGCTTGCAGGGAAATCTGGGCAGTGAACACTGGCATCTAGTGGCTCACTGATGCACCTTTGCAATGAACCACTCCACAAAGGCTTCATCTGCTGCTTCTCTACTTGCATGTGGTTATGTCAAATTAATGAGTTCCCACTTCCCTTCAGAGGCAACACACCTGACATGCTCAAAACACAGTGCTCATCCCAGGACATGTCCTTTCCAAGCAACTGTCCATTAAGCCTCTATTTGCTATGCCAGAGAAACAAAGAAAACATGAAAAGCTGTCCGAGCAAGTGCTGCTGTATTTCACTGTCAGAAGTTTCAGTATTACTTTTCCTTCTGTCTATACACGTTTAACAAACCAAAGTCTACAGAGAGAAAGTGTTCCTTCAGGTGTTGCAGTAATTTCTCAACCACACACTAAAGCTCTACAGATTCCAGAGGGAGCCCTATTTTTCTGCCTGATCTAAGTCTGAACCTTTGAAGATTCCATCCTAGCCTGGTCCCCTGTGTGGTCACAAAACCCACTGAAAAATTAAACATAAAGGAACTCGTGAGCTCAGAGCAATGACAAAGGACAACATCACATTTGCAAATGTGCCAGCATAGTTCTTATACAACTTTTTAGTTCAGTCTTGAAACAGTCCAACACTTTTTTCAGTTCTGAAGACAATAAGACATATGGGCACAACAGATTCAAAGTCTCTCATCTAGTTGCCCCAAGTATAGAAAGAAATCATGCTCCAAGATATGCATGGGAAGAAATATTCAAAATAAATTAAATTCCTCACAGCAGTTCTCAGTGGAATGAAGGAAGCAGCAAGGAGGGAGACGAGGGCAGCTCTCCACAGGAGGCTGGTGAAATCACGTCAGTATCTGTTTGCTCCTTACCTTCACTGTAGCCTGCACCTTCCTTTGCAGTTTGGGCTCTAGCCTGCTTAACAATGTGAAACTGTAGATCTTTATCTGCAGGCAGAGAAGAAAATAAAATCAAACCACTTTTACATCAAGTTCTTGAGTACTTGATTGGATTACTCTTTACTCCCCAGCCTCTATTATGAGACATATGATATGGTACAGAACATCATATGTCATTCATGTACAAGTGGACATTTGAACTAAAAATGTAATTTTCATTTATTACATATTTGAAATGAGGGGAGAAAATTAAGGAAAAAATACATATTCCTGGGTTACAAGGATATGGAAAAAGAAATGTATATACGTACATTGTTCTCTGTACCACTGCTTTATCTCCAAATTCTACAAAGAGCTTCCTGACCTTCTAAGCATTCATTTTAATACACTTTCTGGATTTGATGCAAGAGTGAGGACTAAGAACACAGGAAGAAAATCCTAAGAGGACAAAACTGATCCTCCTTGGATTTTAAGATCAAAATATAAACGCGATCTACAGAGTAAAATTACACAGTGATAGAAGCATAAAAACAGTAAAATAAGGCAAATTGCATACCACAATTTGAGATAACTAACCTACTGATTGAAACACTCAAGATTTTCAGGAGGTCTTGAGGAGTTTACAGCTGCCAAGGCAGCGGAGTTGTGCTACCTTGAGGACCCGGACTCCTTGGTCCCACATCTCGCTCTTTCCCCGCGATCTCCCCATAGCTCCTCATTCTCTGCACTTCCCCGGGTGTCGCTCCTCAGCCCCAGCCCTGTGTGCCGCCCGCTGCCCCGCTCACCCATGGCGATGGTGGGAACCTTCAGGTTTTCGTAGAAAAAGCTGGAGTCGTACATCTCGGCCTGCGGGACCAAAGGGCTCGGTCAGGGCCCGGCCCGGGGCTGCCGAGCGGTGGTGGCAGCCCAGGGCAGCAGCGCCAGCCCCGCGCCCCTCTTCCCGAGCCGCGCTCCCACCTCCTCCTCGGCGGAGTATCCCATCCTGCGCAGCCGGCAGGACGCCGCGTGCCTCTCCAGCGACGCGCGGGGGACACGGTGATGGACGTCGTAGGGGCACAGCACCCACTCTACCTGCGAGGGGACACGGGTCAGCCCCGGCCCGCCGGCCCCGCCGCCCTGCCCCGCGCAGCCCCCGCCGCCTCACCGGGTCCCCGCCGAGCCACACGGCGCTGGCCGCCGCCATCGCTGCGCCGCGCGCCGCCATCGCCGCGCGCACGGCCCCGTGACCGCGGAGGGGCGGCCCCGCCTCAGAGCGGGCGGCAGCGGGCCCTGCAGGGCGTGCCGAGGGACCTGAGTCAAGCTTTGCCTTTTATCCTTCTAAATTAGCATCCGGTAGCTGGACGATTACCATTAACCAGTTGCATTGCGAGTATCGGATGCTTGGTTAGAATTTTAAGGAATAGGGCAGACAATCCCAAGTTGGATGGGCTGTCCGGACGAGAGCCAGCAGGAGCAGAGACGGCGGGGCTGAGCAGCAACTGGGGAATGGTAATCCCGGCAGTGGGCGATCGCGACCACCGAGTCACTGGCCACATCTCACTGAGAACGGACGCCGGGCTCAGATGGAGGGCAGGACCGCGCCGCGGACTGATCGACATGAGCAGCGGGACACACAGCCAGCAGATGGGGCTTGAGTAGCAATTAACACAAAAGTTGCGTAGTTTGCAACCAGTGCCTGCTGCTGCCCCTGCTTGCTGAAATGTGTACATAGCGTGCAGTTCCGGCGCTCGGTGAGGCAGCCGTGTGCTGCTCACCCCCAGCTGACTGCCAGGCGCCAACGGGAACAAACCCCGGGAATGCCGCGGTGCCGCGGGCGTCGCCTGCCGGCCGGAGGCCGCAGGACACCCCCCGCCGTGCCCGGCCCTGAGGGGCAGCGGGCTTTGCCCTCCCTGCGCACGGACCTGAGTGCCCGCTGCCCTCACCGAGGGCTGCTCGCCTGGGCGCCGGCCCTGCCTGCCTGGGTGCCCCAGAGCTCCCCCTGATCGTGGCGGGGCAGGAGGAGCATCAGCCCCCCTGTCGCCATCCAGGCCCTGAGGCCCGATTCCCTCTTGGAACAGGAGGAATGTGGTGCGAGATGACAGCAGGCCCTCCAGCAGGCTCCTGCCGCAGGATCGTGAGAGGATCCCCAAGGAGCAGGATATGCAGTGCAGAACCAGGATGGATTTGTCCCCTCGTGGAGCACGGGGGTGTTGCCAGTGTGGGGGGAGCTGCATGGCTGAATAGGAGCAATAGGGCTGAATCAGACTGTAAGGCAGGATGAGGAAAGAATGACTGTCTTAAGGGATAGATTTCACCTAATTGACGTTTGTGCTTGCCTATTGTCTCTGAAAAGCACACGACTGGATGGAAGAGTGGATCTATCAAGGCAGGGTGGGGGAGAAGCAGCATGACAGATGCAGCTGCCAGAATGACTTTTGTACATCTGCTTTTCGTTAGCAGATTACAGCCCTTCCCTGCACAGTGAATTTGAGACTCAGCTGGGATTTTAGCCCTTTGAGAGATTTGGTGCCTCTAGTTACCTTTGCCTGGGGATCTTTGACATCACATGATACAGAATACTTGTGAAGACTTCCCAGCTGCCCGTGCATTTTCATCCATGCTGTACTGAAGTACACTCACTAACTAGCATTAACACATTTTATCAAAAGAGTACTGAGAAAATCTGTGCAAAACTGTTTTGACCATCTCCACTGGAAAAAGAAAAATTATTCAAAATTATGAAAGTCAAGTTCAACGAAGTATCCAAGCAGATTTGTTTTAAGACTAAAGATTAAACAAAAAATTGATTTTGTTTACTTATAAATTAAATTGATAAGAATTAGGGTAGATGTTTTGTTCGGCTAAACAACAACATTTTGAATTATTCAAAATTATCTTAGGGCCTTCTTTTCCCCTATAAAACCCCAGTTCCTGTTATCATGGAACAATCATGGCTACAGACTTTCCAGGAGCAAACTGACTGGATGGGAGAAAAAGATCATCAGCTTACAAAAGTTCATAGCGTCACTTTTCCTTCCAGGCAAAATCACACTTAGGTTGGCTTTCCATCAAGCAAAGAGTGGGATTGTCACAGTCTTTCATCTAAAACTCTTTCCCAGCTGTTGTCTCCAGTCTGTGGCACACCCTCTTCTCCTGCACCCAGCACTGTGCTGCTGCTGCCAACAGTGCTGTGACTTTGTCATCAAACATTAACATGTGGTTAATAATGTAAAAGTAACAATAATGTAAATTTAACACTCTCAGTCTCACGGTCCCTTCTGAGAAGGAGAGAGGAAACTCCACAGCTGCATTTCCTGAGACAGGAATGCTGCCTCACTGCAGCATCCTGCAGCAGGGGTACTTGACTACAGTCCAGGGCCTCTGCAGAGCTGCAATTCATGGCAAGTAGTGTGGTGCTTTTGTAGATGCTCTTTCTGGACAGCACTGACCTATGGAGAAAGTCTCTATGGAAATCAGCCCCAAATATCCTCACAGCGCAGCAGAACAGTCCTAAACTGCTGGACAAGCAGAAGGTACAGCAGGGAATTGGTGTATACATTAAGCCATCATAAACACCATACAGTGCTGTTGGAGAACTCCTGAAATGTACCTACCACCTTGTGCCTTCCTTCAGATGGAATTTATATTGCTAGAATCTCCAGCTGTTGGCACATCAGGAACCACCTAGTTCAGGACCATACCCTGGGGCACAAAGCTTAACCTAGGTTGAATGATCCCAACCCAACAAAGTCAGTTGGTACCTCCAAGAGTGCCAGGTTGAAACCACACTGAAATTGCACTGCTCTTAAGGCCTAAATCTTCCTACGGGATGTGCAGGAGGAGTGGGAAGTTCCTCCTGAGCAGCAAAACCCTTCCCCACACAGCTGACACAGGGAGGAGCATTCCATGGCTTGTGTTAGTTTTTTCCTCCACTACTAAAAAAATCTTGCAGACTTTCTGCAGCTAGATATTTATTTAGAAGTATACTGAATTTTTCTCTAACATGAAAGAAAGACATTTTTCATATTTAGCATTCCTTCTATTCCTTAGATTCAAAGCACTACTTAACAGTTTTATTGTGTGTTCACTGTTCCCCCTAGAAACAAGGGAAAAAATGTGAAAGCTCAATTTATTAATTTTTTAAAGCATGCTTTGGGTAAAGAGAAATAAAATAAGCTTTGTAACAGTTTTCTCAATCCTTACCACATTCAGCATGCACATTTCTGGGTGGGAAAAGGGCCATGGAGCTAGGCAAAAGAAGCTGTAGAATGAATAGAAACCTCATGGGACTACCCAAAAGCTAAAATGGAAGCAGCCTGGCTTGTGGGCCCAGACAGCCCATGCAGGCCTGGGAGATAGAAAAGACAGCTCTTGACCTCCAGCTGTGACAGATTTTTGCTGGACCCACCCCAACATGTTTGGCAAATTTACAACAAGATCTGTGCATCTTTGTGAAGGATATGGAGTAATCAGCCAGCACCTGGCAGACCACAGTCTGACCTGTAGCAGGGAATGACTCTGCCAGGACAGATGCCATGCAGATCCCTAGGGCAGTTTAAACTGCAGCCGCTCCATTAACATTCACCCTTGGACTGCAGGAGCAGGGGATGTTGAACAGGAAGGTTGGGGGTCCCACCCTGGTGCTAAGATTGACTGTACTCACCTCAGAGCAGCTCAGGCAGCTGCCACCTCTTCTCCCTTGCCCACATGTCAACCTCATTTTCTCCAGGGAAGGAGTTGTGATATCCAGGCTGGTAGCATCAGTGTCACTCTGCAAAAATGAGAGAGATTTGGTGAAGATGAAGTTTGAATTTCAGATGCTTAAATTTCATTCTTTTTTGGTCACTGTTGGTTTTATTCACTTTTACCTTAGACTTCAGCAAAGATGCCATATTCAAAATCTGTAGCCTCGATTCAGCTGAACCAGCCTTTTTATCTACAGGGACATGAGGTGAGCTTCTCTAGCACATAAGAATCAATTTATAGAAGTATCATTTATGCCATAGGCATATTTTCCAAAATTGCCTTTACCAGACCACTGACAAGAGTTTAATTTTCACCTTTTGCTGTCCAAGTTCTAATTTTGTTGCCCTCCAACTCATCCAAAAGTGCCAGTGTGGAGCAGTACAGGTGCTGATGGCAAGCAGAGAACTCAGATAATGCCCAGACCTCAATGCTTTCTCTGCTGGGGGAGTGCAGCTGATTTATTGCTTCAGCTGTGTAGCACTCAGAACCTGCTGCAACTCCTTAGCTCCTGGATGTTTATTCCTTTGTAATTTAGTCCAGTTCACAATTACAGCCTGTGGTGTATTTTATGAACTGCAGTGCACCAGACAATTCCAAATTGATTTACAGGCAGCAGCTCTAGCATCTATTAATGCCTTATTGATTCTTCTCTCTGTATCTCTCTGTGATCTCTCATGGATTAATCAGATTTAGATCAGTTTAATCAGGCTGGTATCATTCTCATCTCTAAAGATAAAGCATGGTGTTCTCACTTGATGGAGCTAGGAGTTCACTGTTAAAAAACCTGAAGTAAATCCAATGCCCTCTTCCACACTCAAGTTTTAACGCGTATTTTGAAGCCTTCATGGGTTTTTTTTTTCTTTAAGCCCTTCACAGTTGCTGCCCTGCAACCCTTGATTCTTTGCCTGCTCCCTTTTCTGCCCTTCCCTTGCTGTGAGCTTTCCAACAAGCTAGTGCCTGCCACCTGCTTGGAGTCAAGGTTTGTCCCTTGCCTTTTCTTCCATCTTCCCACCAGATGTCTGGTGGGCATCATTATTTATTTAATTATTTTTTCATTAACACCTGTTGTGATTAAACATAATCCCTGTGAAGAATGAAAGCCTTTTCCATACTTTTTGTCACAAATACTGCTGAGAAGGAAACCAGCTAAATTAAAATGTGGCCATGACTGTGAAAAGTGGCAATTTCTGGCAGGTGACTTGGCCCCTGCTTGTTCTTAGCTGTGCCAGTGCCCTGCTTGCCACAGATGTGGAGATCCTTCCAGCGCAGAACTCCTTGTTCTTTGCCAGGAAGCACAGAGGAGGCTGTGGTTTTCTTTTAAAAGCATGCTATTGATTTCTAATTGATGCCTGCTTGAAATGCCACACAAGGGAGCTGAAACAGCACACACCTTGCCATGCTCTCAGCACTTGCACTACTTGGGAAGCTTTAGAGCAGCACAGAAGTCCTGTGCCAACTTCATGTTTCAGCTTGTGCTAAAGTTCCCGTTGGATTTATCATGTGGGCATGTCTTAAATGTACCTCATTTTGCACCAGTC